CATTGTAAACATGAGTTTATGGTCTCAATCTCTAGTTTCAAGTCTCTACGTCACTCCTCAGTCTAAATATGGTAACGTCCATTCATCGGGAAAAAAACAATGAGTGCTGTCACGATGACTACGTCCACTTCTTATAGAAAGTCTGTGGATCCACTCCTTAAGTCCTTACCTTTCACAATAAAAGCCCTACACATATATACTGTGTAATTGTTTACGAGAGGAAACTCAAATTCACTCAAAACATTTTAATAAAAGGAAACTCAATAAAATATCGCTGGTCAGTAGGATCCTGGTGGTTGGACTTATACCTGCAAGAATCTATGCAAACCTTATTTTGAAAAAGTGTTGCAACTTTTGCGTCGCTGCCGGTACGAAAAGTTTTAATACAAAATATTCACAAGGGAGTATTTTGCATTTTCGTGTCGTTATATTTTGCACTCGTCACGCCTCCGGTGTGTGAAGGTCTCACGATAGCGAGCTAAGAGGGAAGCTGTGAGCGTGAATCCACAGATCTGTGCAAGGAGCTCGAGCTTTACGTCAGAATGACATTCATAAGTAGTGAGTACTTGCAAAAAATAAACAGATTTTAGTTTATTTTATAAGATATAGGTGTACTCAGTTCCGCTGCTTTCAGTAAACTGATAAAATACAACAAAATGCTTGTTGGATAAAAAAGGAAAATTATTTCCAACATTCTTTAATTGAACAAAGTTAATAAAGCTTTTATGTTAAAGTTCAGTTTTCTACTGATGCCCTCGAACTCAAACAATCCCCGAGTGTAATATCTTGTCTTTCGTAATATGTTTATCGCACAGATTGACATTACAATGATTAAAAACCTGTATATTATAAAGCCAAGCAGAAGAAATGTACAAGACAAAAAGGCCGAGCAACAATATCCTTTAAAGTTGAGTCATTCCCTTTGTAGTCTGACATGATGTCGTGTTTGTTTAATTTATTGGAAGAAAATAAAAAAAAGTATTTTAGTAAATGTAAGAAGCTCCTCCTCGTCCTCTTTCGGGCTGTGTTTGATTGACAGCAGCCAGCAGCCTTCACGTCACGTGCAGACAGCGTGTTAGTGTTGAGCAGACAGAACCACGCCAGCATCTAACCGGACCGACATGCAGGTAAGTTCACATGCTGTTTACTGGGCAGCATCTCAGCAGCTAATATGCCGTCTTGCCTGCAAACTAACGTTAGTGGTGCGCTTTTTCCCTGAATGTTCATTCAACAAGCAGGACAAGATGCGGGGTTCCTGTTTGTGAGTTCGATAAGAAGGAGACTTGAGGAGGAAAGCTGATCTGGTTGCTGTTCTGAGGCTACATCCACACCAATACGGAGATCGTTTAAAACCGGGGTTTTAAAACTAAACGATCTCCGTTTCTCACAGCAGATATTGATGCTGTAGCAGACACAAAAAAAACAAACTATTTTGATTTCGGATGGACCTCGAGACCTCACTGGACATAAATCCCTCGTCCTTTAACAATTTACGGGATTCTTAAAAGTCATATTGATTGACACAATTTACCAATAATACTCCCAGCCATCAAACGAGGAAGTGCTCGTCCCTACCTGTGCGTGAGTGTTGTGTCTCAGGCTGCTGTCTTTGTCCCCAAATGTTTTCCTGCAGTTCTCCAGCCACTACAGGGTTGGGAGGACAGGAACGGGTAAAAAGACAAGAGAAAAACATTAATAAGGAAGAGAGAGGAAGATAAAACAGAGACAACACAAGAGCTTTGTTTTCTTTTCCTCCCTCTGCATCTACATTTGTGTACGTATATAATAAAGGTCGGTCAGGAAGGAGATCTAATAAGAGTGTTGTACTTAGCCAATTAAAGAAGGCCTGTTCCAGAGTACGGGATCATATCTGGCCCTCCAGGGACAGTTGCCGTCTCATTCAATTAGCGTCCCTGCATCCCAGAACCCCTCTGCGATCTCATCTCTCTTCTCTTCATTCTCCTCCCCCCTCTTCGTTCCTCCTCCCGCCCCTCACAGCTTCTCCGGCCTCTGCCTCCCATAACTGATTTAGGAGCGTGGAGGGTTATTTTTATCCCTTCAGCAGGAGGATGGCACTAGTGATGCAGACACTAACAGCTTCTAAATCTACTCATACCCAGCACAATGTCTGCACCGCTGATGAGACAGGCTGGGGCTTATCTTGTACCGCATCAGCTATTTGTCTCCATGTCCTCTTGGTACTTCCATGGTGCGATGGCACAGGGATAAAGGGCAATTTACACAAGCTTCCTAAGTCCATCTCTCTAGAGATGAAAGGCTATTGTGAGACAGTCTCTCACACACATATATCCTGACACAGCAACTTAAACTGCAGCTGAGGCGATCTTAAGAACCACGGAGTGGATGTGAGGCAACGAGTCCTCGGGGACGAAGGTTCAAAGAGAATTGGAAAAGTAGATTCGGCGAGCGTGGCGACTTACAAGTTCTGCTGCTTCTCTCTTGGCGTTGTAGGTGTCCAGGTGTTCCTGCAACTCCAGCACACTAAACTTCAGAGTCTCCAACAGTCCACAAGAGACCAGCTACAAACAGCAAGACAGGACACCACACACATTAACCCACAACACCACCCGGTACATACACGGGACGAGACAGAAAGATATCTACAGCGGGACACACGCACACATTGAGGAATATGCATAACATGCAGCACTATCTTTAAAAATAATATGTTACTGCAAACATTGTATTTTAGCTCGTTTTCTTTAAATCTAAATGAATGCAGACAACCATGCAGAGCAGCCTCACCGTCTCTGCATCCAGCAGCACGGTGGGGCACTGCGAGCGAGACGTCATGACTTCCAGGGAGCTGAGGAACTGATTGCCCATTCGCTGGAGCCGCTCCCCGAGAAAGCGAACAGACGAGTGCGTAATGGAGCCAAACTTCCTCTGCATGCTCTGTATAAAACAAAGGACGTGGAATAACAGGTTATATTGCTCAGAACGCTCACGAGACAAAGTGCAGCCCTGCAGCTTTTCAGAGGGCCATTCACCTGAAAGAGTCTGGAGAACACGTGGAACGTGTAAACAGCAGAGGAGCCGTCCGAGTCTGACAGCATCTGGTTAACATGGCAACGCCAGGCGTCCTCCTCATTGTCACAGGCGACAGGCTGGAACGCTGCCAGGATGGCGGAGAGGAAGGGCGAAGGGGGGGGGGAGGCCTGGATCTCCGGGAAGCAGTCTGCGTCACCTTCATCCTGACTGAAACACACACACGGAGGGCCAATGAGCAACAATCCGACGTGTCACACACTCCCCTCAGTCTGTTTTTACTGAAGGACAAATGTAAACACACACACACACACACACGCTCATCCTCGCTCTGCTGCTGCTGGTAAACAACTCTTACGTCGCTGCATCTCTTCCTCCCTCACTGCAGATTTTGCTGCAGTATTTTGAGAGCTCTAATCTACTGCAGTGCTCGAGCACAACAACAACATATGAGCTATTAGCATTTTAGCATCATGCAAACATCCCCGTCTCGGCCACACACACACACACACACACAGATACTCACAGGCCTGTCGGACCAAACAGCCTGAAGAAGCAGACAGAATATAAGTATCTAAAGCCGGCGCTGCCGAGCGCTGTAGCGGACACGGTCTCTGTCCTCATCCTCACCCCAACAATCGCTTCTCTTTTCTCGCTCTCCTTTAACTCTCTCCCCTCGTCTGCGGCTCGACTCTGCTGCAACTGCTAACAGCACTAGCGCACCGCACACCCATCCCACACAGGACTGCAGGGAGCTCGACACCAGCTAGGCATCGGCTCACACACACACACACACACACACACACACACACACACACACACACACACACACACACACACACACACACACACACACACACACACACTTTTGCAAAAGCTGCCAGCCAACATTCACAGCAGGTAGAACGTTGGCGAGTTGTTTTTTTTGTCTTGCTCTCTCTCTCTCCCACACGCACATGAATCCTCACACATAGAAAACACAACAGTGAAGCCACACTGCTTTCAGACAATCACTCAGAGTGCAGCCCACGAACACGCCTGCCTATGAATCATGCGTGGCTTAGCTAAGTGAAGGACCTTGAGTACAGTAGTGAATGCTAGTAAGAGGCTAAGTGAGCGGCTCTGTGTGTGTGTGTGTGTGTGTGTGTCTGCTCGGTGTAATTTCAAAATTTACAGCTGACCTCCAGAAAGAATTGGCCCACCTTGAGGAGGGAATGATTAAATGTGGACAGCCAACCCCGGTCCACCTTCACAGTTCCGGTCCACATGGGGAGCCATGCCAGGGAAGAAATTACCCATCAGCCCCTCTCAAGAGTGTTCACCTCCCAGAGGCTCGTGTAGTCAGATACTGTAATCCATAAAGCAGCCTTACCCAAACTATTGGTTAACCGACTGATGCGACCTTTTATCACAATAAAAACATTGCAAATTATCATGTAAAAGCTTGTCTCTTCAATTAAAACTAACACATGGGAGCTGTACTGCATCGTAGGAGTGTTGCTTTCTTAAAAAAATTTTTCCGCATTAAAATGTCTAAAATAACAACACCTGTGTTTTCTACGTGTTTGAGTTGTGCACTCACATTACCCCCAAATGTTTCCAACAAAAACCTGACAAATCAGGAACTATAAATGTTAATGACGTCATGTCCTCGTTATGCAGCGTCAGCATTGTGGTCGTCTGTCATAAAGTGACTTTTTATCCAGTTCTAAGCCACATTTTTTACGACACTTTTTAGATCTTGGCGTTTATATTTTAACCGAATTAAGGATTTTAGTCGTCGGACGTCTGAATCTTAAGTTATCAGAGTAAGAGAGCTGAGCTAATGTTAGCGGCTGAGCTAACGTTAGCGTCAGAGAAACACTGACGTTTAACGTGAAGCTGTTTTTAATCAGCGGGTCTGTTTGTTTTGGAGAGGTGGAGACCTCTGTGGTAAAAAATCTTTTTAGATTCTCTGTAAAACCATGTGGGGCGGTCTTGATCCAGACTCACCTGGACATGCCAGAGAAGTCGGCTTCCTCTTCCTCACAGCGATCATCCAGCTCCTTCAGGGCCTGAGTGACGTCCTCCTCCCACCCAGAGCCACAGGTGCTGTCTGGGTCTGGATCTGGATCTGGGTCTGGCTTAGTCTCTGGTGGCATGGGCAAGGGCAGCGCTAGGGGGAGGACCGTTTGGGAGTCCTCATCACAGAGGGACCCCGGCGGAGTGTCTATGGCCGGCGGGGGAGGGGCGGCTGGATCCAGGTCTTCCTGAGGGTCCTGGGTCTCCTGCGGTTCCTGAGCATCGTGAGGGTCCTGGGAGTCTGGGAGGTCACACAGCTCTGACGGGTCAGAGGGCAGAGGGGGGGCGCTGCAGAACCCCGTGTCCTCACTCACACTGCTGCTCAGGTCGTCCGCTGCCGTCACGCTCACAGCATCCTGTAAAACAAGCCAGAAGGGGGCGCTCAGGAGCAGGTTTAACTAAAACACTGTACATTAAATATTAAACAGGGAGATGGGCTGGTTGTCCTGTATGGAGGACTAAAGCTGCCGTTATAATAAATTAATAAGTAAACAAATGTAGAAATAAAAGCTTAAATTATCAAATACTTGTGCAGGTTAATTTGAAAATAAATGAATATGCACAGAAATATATATAATGTGTATATTTACTCAAGAAATTACTTTTTTGTATTTATTTATTTTCATATTATTATTATTATTATTCATATTATTTCTGTCCCGTTAGGAATCAATGGGTGTATCTTAATCTTCATTTTATTAATATAATCTTCTATTTCTGAGCATATTTATTTATTTTCAAATTCATTTTCACATTTATTTGACAGCCGAGGCCTTTATTTCTTTCTTTTTTTATCTATTGAGTCATTCATCATAAAGCAGCTTCAGTCCTCCATATCCATGCCTCTTAACATCCCTCTGAGAACTCAGATTAATGGCGGAGCCTCTGTAACAGGTTGAATTAAGACTTCTACAGCCGATACTTAAGGACACACGTTAGCTTCAATTGTACAAGACGGATTATAAAGTCAGCGCTTTTTACGAGATTCACTTCCTCAGAGATCTCTTTACGTCGCTCTATGAGCTCACGTCCCTCGTGAGAAATTACAGAAAAGGAAAAGAATCCATAAACAGAAGCCAATGTCAATATGTCACACAAACGTGACCTCGACGCAGCAGCATCGTGTTGAAACGACAGCGAGTGAGAGCAGATAAACCAGATTGTGCCGTTTACATCCGAGTGGACGGCTGTAAACAGCGAGTGAGAGCAGATAAACCAGATTGTGCCGTTTACATCCGAGTGGACGGCTGTATGACCGGCACTACACAACTACACAAACGACGGATCCTAATTATGACAAAACAAATCCACCAAACAGCAGCAATCAGTCAGACAAGGAACCATTTAAAAATCCATATTTAGATTTGATCACATCAGTTCCCATATGTAAAGTAGACACGGAGGACGGATTTGTTGTCAGACGGCACAGAGAAGAGGTTCTAATTAAGAGCGCTTGTTTTTCTCCCGTCTTCCAGTCTTTTTATTTAACAGACGGATGCATTAGGACGGAGAGTGGCAGACGGCCAGTACGTCACAGAGGCAGCAGCTATATTACAGAAAGCTTTTAGAAGAGGTTCGTGGTCCTCCTGGAGAGTATTGATGGTTTTATCTCGGGCTCATTACACTAAGAGCCGGGGCCGTGATGGGGGAGATGTCCTTGCGATGATCTTGAGACCGATTGAGTTCCTAGAAATTTGCTTTCAGTTCTGCGTATAAAAGCATCGTCACTGAGGGGACGGACCGCCTGATTACAAGAACTATGTACGAGCTCAGACTATTCTCTTAACCCCATTAGGGCTGAAACGGTTAATTTATTCGTACCAAACCGGTGGTCACGGTCCGGTGAACTCAGAATAAACTGTATGTAGATCGATGCAGGTAAAGGGGAACTTTTAGCTGTACGCCGTTAGCACAGCAGCAACAACCTGATTAGCGTGCGACTCTATGAAATGGATTAAATGCAGACATCGAGCTCTTCTTGTTGCTCTGCTGTTGATTGAGGAGGAGATCAATGTCCGTTCATCCCACATCTACCGGCATCAAAACAGGAAGTCAGTAGTAAAGTCCGCCTCGGATTGGCTGCCTGGGCCATTTGTGACATTGACAAGCGGTGCGAGTTCGGGCCTGGAGCTGAAAGGTTGAGAATACTTTAACGTAAACATAACGGAGCGCACCGTACCAAAGGAAAACAAGCGTTTCTAGCGACGCGTCGCCGTGTGTTCGGGGCTTGAATGAGACCTGCTGCCTTTTGGGAAAGTGTTTGTACAGTGTAATACAAAAGTGTGAGAAACTTCTTATTCTTATCATGAAAATATCAACATTTTACCAAAGATGCCAGAGGACAGAACGCCACCTCAAGGCCCAGCCAGAGCTGTTGTTGGTCTTTGACACTTGTTCAACTATCTGTTTAAAACAAATGAAAAGAAACCTATTCTGCATTTGTTTCTTCTCTCTGTAGCACTGAATCAAGACCTCGACTCCTCTAATCTCTATATTTAAAGGATAAAAAACTGACTTAAATTCTGCAAATCAGACCACGTGACATACTCACCATTGTTAGTATCAGTGATAAACGTCAGTAGCAGTGGATAGCAAAGCTGCTCATCACAGGACATGCTCTGGCATGTTAATATGGTAGCAAATAGAAAAAGGGTTTAATTGGTTTTCTGTTAACTGCATTGTTATACTCACACATGCTTCTGCCGCAGATAAAGGAGCTGGAGTCCAAGTTTTTAATGGAGGATTTAGTTGGAATGGTCAGCGGCTGTGTTATTAAAGGTGAGCAGTGACAGCTAACCTGAGGTGAGCTTTGGTTTCCATCTCTTCCCCCCAAATCACATCAAGCAAGCAAAGCCCCACCACACGAGTATTAAACCACATAAACCATTTAAAAAAGGAGCAAGAGCTAGCCTTCAGCACCCCCATTACCCAGAGCAAAGCAACAAAGCAAGCGGCGGTAGGAGGAGTCAGAGCAGGCAGACACGGGTACAGAACCAGCACTTTAACGCCGTCACAACCTGAGGCGGCTGATCCTCTGTGTCAACCACAGACAAGCCAAGAAGTACCGCGAAAGCAGATAAAGGTCGAACAGATAGAAGAAGACGAAAAATAAAAGGCAAGCTAGAAAGCACCCGAGCGCCACGGTTTATTGCTCCACCCGATTAATCGCACCTCAGGCAGCTGGCTGCTGGTGCTGTCTGAGTGGGGCATCTCCAAATTGGGGCTATCCAGTCGAGGGAGGGAGCGGAGGGGGGGCAGGGAGGGCGGGACGGAGGCCTCCTCAGTCAGAGCGCCGCTGGACGACTCCTGAGACTGATGCAGGGAGTCCACGTGGTTGGACGCCGTGTCGTCGGTGGCAGAGTCGCTGTTGAGCTGGAGGAGAGAAAAACATACAAAAACAACCGGTTGTGTTACGTGTCGTTTGGTGTGATGGGAACCGTTATTATTAAGAAGTACACTAAGGGCTAAAGATGTCATTAAGGCCACACAGAGACTACATCTAAAACATGTTTATATGGATTCTATGTTAAAATGAGGGCTGTACCAACTAGTCTGAAGCTTCATTCATAACATGGACGTCATAATTCTCTCCATTGTGTTTAAACACAATATTTCTGTTCAGTGTGAAATAAAGATCAGGCTACTTTAATATTATAAGTATTTTACTTTTTGCATAATTATATTCCAGTGGTGGCTGCGTTTGCTTCTGACTCATGTGATCCAAACATTTTTAATGACTTAACAATTACCGGAGCATTAAGTCACAAAGTCAACATTTATGGAAAAAGATGTAATGCGTTGCTTAACAAAATATTCTGCTATACATGTTTATATATTAGTGTTTAGCCTTTAAAAACTACATTGTCACAGCGGCACACAGCAATCTAACAGCACTATAAATAATACAAACGACAATAACAAGAAATCTATTTTTTAGGGTTATGACGTCATAATATCTGACAACAGACATTTGAAGCTTCATTCAAGAACCTCAATAGAAGCTTTGAATGTAAAAGATGACATTAGGTACAGCCCAAATTATTATGTAGCATTCTGCCACCAAGCTCAAACAGATTCTTTACTGAACCGTAATGCAGTGAAACATGTTGAACGCTCGACGTGACCTCGCTGTGGGGTGCAACATACCGAGACGACGTGCTCGGTTTGACGTGTTAATATAAAAAGGAGCTTTTGATATCAGATACACGAGAGTTGATTAGTTTAGAATCGTGCACTTAAAACCAGACATTATACGTTTGTTATCTTCAATCCTGAACTCACTTTTGCATTAATAAGTATTTCACTTGCAGGTCCAAATGTTTTTTTATCAGTTATGGTTTGTGTTGCTTGTTATTTGAAGTACAGATAAAATAATAATATGATTCTGTTTCAAGCAGAGCACAACATTTAGTCATTTTAGTCTTCCATTCAGTTGATTCTACACTTTAAAATCGCTTCAGGCAAAAGAGATCATGCCAATTATCAATAAACGTATTTAGATATTACAATAAACTCTTAGTTTAAACACGTGTAAATGCTGCATGCTGGTCTTATTAGCAGTACAGAGTAACACTGGACGACCACAAACATTGTTGGGGAAAATATCCTCTTGAGGCAAAAAGCTCATTCTCTCACCGTGCACTACCGAGATCAGGGAGAGCAGAAGAAGAGAGTGAGAGGACAGCCCCATTAGACTGTAAAGCATGTATATTAATGGTGTTACTATTATTGGCAGCTTTGCAAAGAAACGTAAAAGCGAAGAAGAGTTAGAGACAGGCGGCCCAAACAATGCAGAGGAACATGCTGTTGTACTGAATTCTTGTCATATTTGATACTTGAGTTACATTGAAGTCTAAATATGTCTCCTCATCAATCATCAGTGGTTTACCTCCGAGCTCAACCCTAAACTGTACTTACCTACCGGGAAAAATCAAAAGCAACTATGAGACAGAATAATGTAGCATTAATCTAGCAGTCAGAGGAAGAGGGGCTGAGGTTTGAGGGGGGGGGGGGCGCGTCTACCACCACCAGCAAGCAAGCATCTAGGCCCAGGTCCAGCTCAGTACGCACGCACGCACGCACACACACACACGCACACCATGCCAGCGGGCCGTGTGAGGAGCATGGTGGGTTGGATTTGGGGGGG